GTAACACACGTTCGGTGCAACGTGGTTATCCATTATCTCTGACCGTAAGAGTGCGGTGCGTTCTCTCTGTCTCGAGGGAGCTCGACACGAGGCATTCTTTTTTGGGGCGAGGAAAATCGGTGGACGAGGAATGGTTTATGGAGGGTGTGTTTGGATTCGATAGCTTCTTTCGAAGGAGATTTTTTTTTTAGATTCTCGCAAACATTGTTATCGCATTAACTCGTTCGAAGCGTAGTTTCAGAGCAGTCGTTTTCTCTCAGAACGTTTTTCATTTAAACGGGATTCGCGTTATTCGACCCATTATTTCGCGGGATGCGACAAAGGAAAAGATGCACGGCTCGACGAGCCACGCGCATCGTCCATTCGACGTCGGGTGTCGGGAACGATCGATCGGATGGACGGGAGGACGTCAAAGCTGCGATGTTGATCGCCGCGACAGGATTTCACGCTTACCTGTGTCTTCCGCGATTTGTTCTCCCGCCGCAAACAGCGTCCGTCGATTTCCAGCGATGGAACGATGGATGTTGATTTATTAAAACCCCCCTCCCCGCTCGATCGTAGCTCATCCATCAAGAGAGAATCGGAAATTGATCGAGCATCCTTGCCTGATTGACGACCAAAAAAAAAAGAAAGGAAAAAAAGAAACTCGCGTGGCCCTCGACAACAATGTCCAACGAGATAATTTTTATATAAATGTTTTTAAAATTGCTCGGTCGTCGAGAATCGAAACTTAATTGGTCGGTCGATGGATAGGGAAGGGGAGAAAGTATCGAAAGTGGACGAAAGAGATAGAGAGGGTGGAAAAAGGAGGGAAAAAATATAGGCGTAGCAGTCCGTGACACGTTAATTAAGCGTCGAACGAGAATTATTGGCCGTTTCACAGGCGGGTCGGCTTGGCGGATACGCCAATGGCGGTAATTACTCGACGGTAAATAGAATCAGTTGATTCGGCGGCGAAATTGACACCGAGTTCAAAGGAGGGTCGTGCGTCGCTTAATTGTCGTCGCGACGCCGGAGGTGCGACGCCGTGGTTACACGGTTGACGTTAAAGCAAGCATCTGTGCCGTTGCGGCGCATCGACGCGCGAAACTCCCTCGACGCGCTATCAGAGAGAGAGAGGGAGAGAGAGGGAGGGAGGCAGATGTGCATCGTATCGCACGCGTATACCAAGTGACATCCACGCGGTATCCAAGCTGCACAAGGGGTGTTGGAAGACGGGTGGGGTGGTTGAGTGCAATTGAGGGTTTTCATAACGACACCGGTGGCGCGAAATTGCGCCACCGAGCTGTCGGCGAAAACGCTAACGAAATCAAACCGCCGCGATCCGAGAGAATTAATTTGCCCATTGTCTCGATGAAATTGAGAGGGAGAGAGAGAGAGAGAGAGAGAGAGAGAGAGAGAGAGAGAGAGAG